CTTCGTCCTCTTTTCTTCCCTTTCCCTTTCCTTCGTCTTCGTCACTCCCAAAAGAATTACNTCTTCCACTCCTCCATGTTTTTCTGCTCCATCGTCGTCATCCTCCTTTCTCCCCTTTCCCTTTCCTTCGTCTTCGTCACTCCCAAAAGAATTACCCTCACTACTATCGTTGTCGCAGAGATCCCAACCGATTGGCCCTGGTGGAATTTGGTCGATCAGTAGCCCATCCATGACGTTTGAACACATCGCGAGTTCGCATCGACAGAAAACGAGCTAGCTCGAAGGTAAAAAACCGTCTCCGAATGAATCCTGTTAGTATGTATGTGTGTGTGTGTTTTCGTCCGATTTATTATTATGGCGACAGCCCCCCCATTGTTCGTGGTGAGACATGTACAGTTGGCGTCCGCAGTTAGTGAAGAAACGCTTATTTCAGGTCCAGCCTCGAATTCTTATTGTGGGCTATAAACTCAGCGTATGTCGTTCAGTTTCTTATTTCAAGTTTCTTATTTTTTCGTGCACCCGAATCCTGCTGAATTTCTTAAATCGGCAATTAATTTCTTTTTTCTCTGCCTGCATACTACACAACGTTCCAAATATATATACAAATGATTTGTACTGCTTTCTTGCTCGACCCCGTACTCAACCCCGATTCTCACTACCGACGGCTGCACGTAAGGCCACTCCCTAGAAGCGAAATGTATCAAGCGGCAACGTCTCGCTATTATCGCTACAAGGTCCTGTACCCCCCTCATGAGTGAGGGCTGAAACTAAACAAATGCATAAACACCGCATGATGCCTCACCCGCACGCTGAAGTACCAACAACGAAAACTACCCCGTCATTATGTTGCAAGCTCCGCGAGGCGAACATTATTGGGGGTTGTCACCCTTTTGCGCCTCCCGCTCCCTTCCTTTCTTATTGAGACATTCCTTATTGTGTGACCCAGATTGAGCTATGTTTCTTAACCCGTTTTTCTTATTTTTCGTGAAAAAGTGAGCCTCAATTTCTTACCAAAATATTTCTTAACTGCGGGCGCCAACTGCACTAAACCTTTCAGCGTATGTATGTAGAGTACTACTTGACGTTTCAGTGTATTTTTTCGTACAATATTTCACAGAATGTGGCGTCTTGCAGCAGCGGAGGTGGCGGTGCCGCTGTAGCTCGTAGACTTTGTAGTCTTCTACCACAGAGGTCACACTGCTGTCACCGCTCTATCACAGTGGTTGGTCTACACTGCTGTGAAATCGGTAGGCCCGAGCGAGCTTTGGAAAGAGAAATGCAGATAGATGTTCTTATCAACTGACTCCCTGGTCAGGCTTT